TTTTAGGAAGAATTCTTATCTTTTGTTTATTTCACATGTGTTTTTCTGTACTTCATAGAACATGGTTATAAAAGCTATTTTAAAATCCCAATATATAGATCATTTGGGGATTACCCTTGTTGATTGTTTTCCCTTGAGATTTGGGCTGTTTTTATGGATATGTTTATATGTTGAGTAATTTGAGTTTGTACCCTGGACATGTGAGAAAAAGCCTGAAAGTAAATCTTGGGAAGGACATTGATATTTTTATTTTAGTGTGGAATCAGCTTGTTTAGGTTATGACCGTAAGTTCTGTCTTGTTCTCTGTATGTAGTAGCTCAAATATCGGTTTGCTCTGCTGAGCCTTTGCTGCCTTAGGTTAGATCTGTTTTGCATACAAGTAGTTTAGAGGTTAGGCTGAGACTTACATAAGTTCATAGCAGAATTAGGAAGTTTACTTTTTTAACACCCTCCCTCTGGGGTTTCTCTCACATTTTCCTCAGCTTGCAGGGATTCTTTTCCTGGCTTCTTTGGTAGAAACAGTTTCTATTGAAGTTTGAGTTCTCTGGCTCAAACTGAGGTACTCAGTGGCTGTGGCTTTCCTGCTGAGCAATGCAACACCAGGAAACCCAGATTATGGGTTGATTCTACAGGCCTTAAATCACCTCCACAAGCTGTCTGCTTTTGTTTACTTTGTCAGCATCATCTGCAGGTGGGTTTCTTTTCTTTTCTCCTCCCTCCCTCCCTCCCTCCCTCCCTCTCTCTCTCTCTCTCTCTCACATATTTGTATTTTGTCCAAAGTTTTTAGCTGTAATTGATAGGAATAATGGGCTACAGGGGGCTTATACTATCAGAGTAGGACTGGAACTCCACAAGACTAATTTTTTTTTTTTTTTCAGGCCTGGGGATTAAACCCAGGGCCTCTTGCAAGTGCTCTACCAATGAGCTTCACCCCCACACTCCAGTTGGTTAATTTTTTATTTTTTAGTGGGGGGAATCAAACTCAGGACCTTATGCTTGTGAGGTTTGGCACCACTGAGCTAAATCCCTGGCCCTCCAGTTGGTTAATTTTTAATCACTAGTTGGCAAGAGTCAGAGATTTGAGTTTGAGTCCCACCTTTGCTGTTTGTATTCTGCCCTATTTCTCTGTTTGGGAAATGATTGGGATATGAGAACTGGTCTGCCTGTTCCCAGGATTGAGAGAGGCACAATGAAATGATGGCTGTGTTCTGTAAACTGAAAAATTATATCCAAGTGGTTAACATATGTGCTTGTATGTAAACTAGTGTGTTTGTGTGCACCTGCACATGTGCATGCATACACATGCATGGCTTTTGCACAGTTACTTGCATACCAGTGGCATCATGGCTTCTTTCCTCTTCAGGCACTTCCTGGACCTCACTACTATACGTGGGGAGACCATGGCGGCATCATCATGGCCATTACCCAGGGAATGGAAACCAATGAGCTGAAGTAAGTGTGTCTGATTAAGCCTTCTCTTTTAACATTAAACTGTTCTTCCAGAGATTCATGTCTGTGGTGATAGGTGAACATCTCTCTACTGCTGTAGGTGGTTGACCGAACAATTTGGGACCTATGGAAATTACTTAAACTTTTCTTATTTATAAAATGTTCATAATAACCTGCCCTTTTTTAATTTCTAAAGGGTATTATGAGAACAAGTGAAATAATTGTATTGATCTGATAAAGTATAACTGTATAAATATTGCAAATTAATAGTGACTGAAAATTAACTAGAAACTCTGTAACTTGTCTTCCCTTGCTTTGCATTGTTGTGGGATTTTAAGAAACAAGAGAGGCCAGTGGATGATACAGGAGGATTTATTGCAGGTTTTAGGTGTACATCGACTCTGTGGACTAATGTTCAAAGGCCGAGCGCTGAACAAAGGAAAATCTCCAGCTTTTATACATTTGGTCGAAGGGGTTTGACCTACCTAGGGGTGCATAGCTTGGGTGTGAACAAACAGAGCAAAGGCATTTTATCAAGCTTTAACAGTTTTTTAACTTAACATATCCCAATGGCCTTGGCTGGGTGAAAACAGGGTTTTATAAGAACAGGAAGTTATAAAACTTTACTTACAGGGACACAGTTGCTGATTTCATCTCTATTGGAACAAAGATCAACAGCCTTATTGCTTAGGCTGGGGATACTTGTTTTTCTTCTTTTTAAAATTCTGCTTCAATATAAGTGTGACAGACTGTACATAGAGATTTACTCTATGTACAATAATAAAAATAACAATATTAAATAATAAAAATAACAATAAAGTAATAGAGAAATGATAATTACAGAAAGCATATAACTTCGTAACCAGTTAACTTTTGCTATGCTACATTTGGTGTTGGGAGTTCTCACAGAGCTTGAAGGGACTTAGAAATTAACTGTTTCATTTTACAGATGAGAAAACTGAAGCTCAACATGATAAAGTGACTTCCCTAAGGTTTTCCCACTTGTTAGTGATAGAGGCATTATTAACTCCTAGATATTTAGTTTATGTCCTGTATTCCTTGAAGTATATTGTGCTGAAAAACAGTGTCAAGAGTTTGTAACTTCTATTCCCTTAGGTCCTGATTTTATCAGAACAGGTTCTTTGAATACTTTCTTGGAGTTATTGAACAGTTGATGTTTGTCAGGGCAGGGTGGCCCTCATTTCTCCCCAGTTTTGAATTGAACCTGTCAGATGGATTACTGAGGGAAATGGTGAGGACTTCTGTAATCATCCTGTGTAGAGAAAAATAGGAAGCTTTTCCTTCACTGCTTTTAGAATTAGGGCCAGCAGCAAGAGAAGGGTGGGTGGTTTGAAATAGAGATCTTAGCAGCTGCTTTCCCCTTATGGTTCATTTGACATGTGCAAAGAAGCCCAGCTTTCAGGAAGTTGGGAGAAACAAAGCTTGGCATTTGGCTTCCCACCTGGCTGTTCTCTGTTCTGTGTACACTGGTCAGTTGCTTCTGTAGAGCCAAGAGTCACAGGAGGCCCTGTTCACACATAACACTCTGAATCTATGTTTGGATTGGTGTTTGCTCAGATGATGACTGTCACAGAGCTGACAGTCACGAAGCACAGTGCTCCCCACATTCATGCTGTCACTTGTATCTCTGTTAATTTAATTCACATCTCACTCATTTAGTGAGCACTGTTTATGGAAGGTACTGTGTATCCTAAAGAGCCCCAGTATGTTGTCCCCTTGCCTTTAAGCATTCTTTTCCACCCTCTAGTTGTAAGGCAGGTGAGGAGGCAAATGTGTTTAGTATACTGTTCTGTGTGGAAGTCATGCAGGGACAGAGTTTGACTTCCTAGGAATACATTTCATTTTTTGTATGGCTTTCAAGAGTTCAGAGTCAATTCTCAATTTTCCTTGTTTAACTTCTCACAGATTACATTTGCATTCCAAGCTGGCTCCTTTGAAGGAGTTCGTGTGATTCTAGTCCTCTTACACCATCTGTCGGTGCATATGGGCTCAGGGAACGCAGTGTCATTCTACACTAGCTGGAGCAAAACATGACCAGGAAAATAAACCTGCTGCCAGGAAATCATAATGCCCTCCCCAGACATTTCATAATGACTTTGGGGCTGTAGACTTTGGAGATTATGGACACAGCAGCATCCCTCTATTTGGATGAGTCATTTGGAGGTATCCATAATGTGTGATTCAAATAAAGCATTTACAAATATGACAGTATAAATAGGTCTCTTTTGATAGGTATATGTGTGATCCAAATATCAACCTGAGTTTGGCCCAAATCTGCATAGCCACCTGGCATTTTCTCAGTGTGTTGCACAGAGGTGTTTTACTTCTTCCTCTGCTGCTCTGAAAAAGCAGGAGATAATACTGACGTTAGCTCATTTTCTCAGACCACAGTAGTGGTTTACTGTGATGCCCAAGAACCAGTGAGGCTGTTTCTGACAAGCAAGATTTTTGCTCTGGTCTAGCATTTCAGGACTCTTTTGCCTGTCCTCTCCAACCATATTGATCTCTGTCCTTTCAGCATCATGACATTTATTGGCTGTCTCATTAATCAGGCATTGATTATATTTATACTCCTCTTTAAAGCTACCTTCTCATGATACCCCTGAATTCTTCAACTCACTAGTAAGGTTTTTGTAGATAAGAATTTCTATTCTCTACAGGATAGCAGGCACTTAGCAAATATTTGATTGATCAATGAATAGGCCACACATACTTAGTTTTCTAAGATTGCGTTTCTTTTTTTCTTTTTTTTGGATATCTATAAACCTGGAAGGGATCTGGGTGTGGCATCATTTGGACAGCTCCAAGAGGGACCATTGCTGCTGTATTTGGTGTAAATGACAACCCCTGAGCACAGTGGGTGCTCCCTGGATGTACATAACGTAGTGGTGCCCAAGAGGCTCCAGAGATGATCTAGTCTACCTTCAGATCACAAGGAAATAATGTGATTTATCAGGAGTTAGTCCCCATGCTGGAACATGAGCATAATTCCGTTAGGAGTCATTTCAGGTCAATTACACAAACATTTGTTAAACATCAACAATGAACCATATGTGTGCTAGACACCAAGGACACCAAGGTGAGTGAGGCATGGTTTGGGAGCTGCCTGTGCCCACTATGGCTCAGAGATGTTCTCGAGTCAGTTAGAGGCAGAGGCTTGAGGGAGGGATTTGTTTTGAGAAGGAACTTTCTGACCTGATGGCCATTTTTAGGGAGAAAACCTGAGTAGACTGGTGTCAGTCACTCCAGTAAGAGGTACTGGGACAACTGTGAGACTGTTACTTACAGTAAGAGTTGGAGTTTTTGATTTTTTTTCTTGGTGGTTGTTCATTTAAATTATTCATTTATTTCTCTCCCTGATTAGCACAGATAACTAAATCAACCAGCATTTGTTTCAGCTTCTGCCCTAATTCTCTGCTGAGACTGTTACTTTTGTTATTGTTAATTGAAATTGAGTGCAAGAAGTGGAACGCTTTGTTTTGGTGTTGTGTCTACAGGTTTGAAATGAAGAAATAAGAACCTGTGCTGGGGACTCACTTATGCATCCATTCTGCACATGGTTACCAGGCATCCGTCCAGGGGATATACTGGAGCAGTTTCATTTGTAATCAGTGTCCTTCAGAGAAGAGGCTGTTGTGTTTTTGTGCCCTGACAGAAAAAGATCCAAACACAAGTTTGTCCCCTTGATCATGAGGGTTGAGATCAATTTCCGTTTCTTCTTGGCAGCTTGTCAGCATGATGATATTATTGATAGTTACTAATGTTTTGGATTTGCCTGAAAGCATCTCTTCTCTAAGGAGATTTCCAATTTCCTAGGGCTTCCCTGAGGGAATACTGAAAAGTCTCTCAAAGACTACACATAGCTGAGCAGCTGTCTTTTCTGGACCTGAGTTCTGGAAGCAGCCCCAGAGTTCCAGAATGTGGAAGGTCACAGTTAACCTCTTTGCTAGATCTAGCATTTAAAGCTATGTAGCAGTAACACAGTGTGTTTGCAGAGAGCTGCCCCTGCTTCATTCTGACCCCTCAGGGTTTCTTATGCCCCTAGAGTTGTACAGGAATAGAAGCCCGTGTCACCTTTTAATGTCAGTTTAAGAAGCTGTGAGTGGCGGTGAAAAACTCACAGAATCAGGTCATTTAAATATATTAGGGTAAAAAAACAATAAACTATAGAGATAAAATATATATATATATATATATGGAGTGAGATTGATGGGAACACAGGGTACAGTGAGAGCCCCAGTGTGTTAGCTGCTTTCCTGTTACTGGAACAAAATAACTTACACTGACAACTTTCAGGAGAGATTTATTCTGGATCATGCTTTTGGAGGTTTAGTCCATAGTTGGCTGGCCCCAAGGCAGAAACAGCATGGCAGAAAGGCCTGGTAGAGAAAAGCTGCTTAACTCACAGTGGCCAAGTAGAGAGAAGGGAGGATCCAGGGACAAGAATACACCCTTCCATGTTATATCCCTAGTGACCTGCCTCTTCTGATCAGTCTGAACTTCCTGATAGCCCTGTGATGAGTCTACAGCTCCCATGATTCAATCACTTTCCAAAAGTCCCACCTATGAACACATGAGCCTTTGAGGGGACATTTTAGATCTAAACCTTAACACCCAGTACAGACCAGGTGGTGCTGCCTGGGGAGATAAGGAAGGATTCTCTGAAGCAGTAAGCTTGAGCTGAAATTTGAGGATAAAAAGCAAGATCCAGTGCCATTTCAGGATTAGAGAGAGCTTGAGCAAAGGTGGCAGCACAAATCATTGTGCAACATGTGGCTCTTTTAAAATGAGAGTTGGATGGTGAGAAATAAGGCTGAAGGTAGGTATATAAGTAGAGGCAAGGCACTGGGGGCCTTCTCTTTGCCTTACTGTGAAGATTAAACTTTGCTTTTGAGATGGTAGGGTCCTTTGAGAGTTTTAAGTGGGGAATGAGATGGCCATGTTTGCACTGTAGGGAGATAGCTCTGCCAGAATACAGAGGA